CAGTTAAATAGACGGCGTACGGCAGCAGATGTGAGTCTTTATGATTCAGTATGCTGAGGTATTGGAATAAAACCCACTTAGGTCCTAATAACAATTGAAAATCAAGCCTCACCTGCTGCGACTCAGCGTTAATTGCATCACCTGACGTATCCATCGGTTGAGATACTGTTTGAGTTGGAGGCGCAGCAGGTGCTGTAGAGGCCGCGGGATAGTTGGCAGGCGCGGGTGCCGTTATACCGGCCTGGGGTTTCAAAGTTGCCAGAGCTTCGCGGGCGGCAGTCACCTCCTTAGTCAAGCTGTAAAGATAAAAAGTGAAGTAAATAAATGGTAATAAGGCGACGAACAACAGAACAGAAGCCGAGAAAACCTGCCTCACGCCGCCTGAAGATGAAAAAACTGGACAACAGAATGAGCGAGGCGGGACCACGGCGGTCCGCATGTGTCTCATCAATTCAATCAACGTTAGACAGCACGATCTCATCGAACTAACTATCAACAGCCATATACTAAAGATTCTACCGAACTTGCCTCCTCCGTTGCTCACCCACTTGCTCCTGATCTTAGGTCCCGTACACAAGCGACTAGTCAATTATTTCTTGTGAATACCCCCAGTGTCCCATTTCAAACTGCTTCCCAAGCAAAGTACAACAGCGGTGTTCCCTCCGACTTACAACATCCTTACCCTTAAACAGAGAATCAACAAGCTGGTTCCAGCAGGAATGTTCCTTCTACCATCCAAGTAGTTTATCCTTGGATTGTTGGACCCATTGTATTCAATTCTGTCTAGTAAAATAACGGTCTTATATTTGTGGAAAAATGGACGCCGAAGCTTTAGTTATCCCATTACACAAAGGTGTGCTAAAATTATATTTTTATTCTGGCTTTACATTGCCTAAGCACTTCAACGTCACCATGTTTACAAACGTCCCTTTACGACCTCAGTAGATAACCTCCCGAGTGATCATTAACTGATTTAGGGTTTATATATAATACGCAATAGTGTAACGTGATTCGTTTAGCACATACTCAGCACTAGGACGCGTGGAGTGTAATAATGATAATCATAAAATAGGTAGCTGCCTTTGGCGTACTCTGATCTTTGTTAGCCAACCTGGTGGCCCATGAGATATATTTTAGACGTGCTCCATAGCACATGTATCTTGTGAGGGTTTTATGTAGTTCGAAAAGTTCTATGTTGCTATTAACGAAGAGTAAGCCCCAATCACAAGGCATTTCCCCAAATTGCTTCTAATTGTATAAAAAAGCGCAATCTACATGATAACACTAAATGCAATAAGATTTTAAAAAAAGACTAAACCGGTTATCGAAGTTTTGCTACCTTCCGTGCCAATGCACACTTACGTGTTCCAGGATAAACTTTATTAATTTAGAACACAAAGGTGTCACATTGAACAGCATTTATTTCATTCAAAAATATCCCAAATATCTTTACTTTCCATGCTCATCGAACCAACATCAAAATTTGGTGCAACCATGCATAATTACATCATTGATACCGAGAGTAACATTCGGTAAGTGATTCGACAAGATCAAATCACAAGTGACCGTTGCCAAACACAAAAATTCGGAAGGAGAGCGACAATAGATTAAGGTGTGTAAATTTATTGTATTGTGTAACTTTTGCAAAAACACCGAAGCTTACATTTTAGTCTAAAGAATATGCATGCCAAACCTCACAGAGAATAGATACAACAGACAGGAAATGTTTACATTTACACACTTTCGTGTGATGTGCAGTAGACGGGAGGAACCCAATAGTCACGAGGACCTGCTGTTACGTGATGGAAACCGGCAACCTAATCCCCGGAAGTGGTGAACCACAAAAAAAGGCGTGGTGTTGGNCCAGACGACAGCAAAGCTGCCTACCACCAAAGTTGGGTGGCAGTGGCGGGGCTCGAACCTCGGACCATAGGGTTCAAAGCATGCCGATGACAGCAACTAAGCCACTGCGTCACCACCACAGCAAAGGGGAATTTCATGACCCAACTGTAAGTTTACTTGGTTCAATCTCCTTTTTTGTCAGTAAACGTGCAAGAGAGTAGGTGAATAAAGGTAAGCGTACATACGAAACGACAAATGCATTGACTTGATGGGAACAAAGCACACGCAGTATGACAGTTTGCATTGAGTGGACGTACCGAGCAATGACACGACAAGCGGCATCGTGCTGATAAAGTGCGTGTGATAACTCTTGCCGAGCGGTTTGTAACTGTTGTCTCAAAGTAAACGATTGAAGCATTACGGCATCCCATTCATCCTAAGGAAAATGACATCACAACAAGTGATTTACCTGAAGAGTCTTCAGAATAGCCGGTATCGATGTAGCCGACGGAGGTTTCGGACGAACAAAGGATGATGTTTTTAATTCAATGAGCTCTTCTGGAGCAAGTGGCTGCTGATCAACTGGATCGGTTCCGTTTTCTGCGAGATACTTTTCAATAAGACGACGCTCAAAAACATGCCCCGAGCGAGGACTAATAACAGGATGCTCGGGGACTTCGTTAGACAGAGCACACAACAACGACATTCTGAAAAAAATTGATCCTTTAGTATGCGATCATGGAGAAATTGTAGGAAGAAGAGCCTGCCATGTGACATATTTATTTATAAAATAACGACATTTATGATACAAAGTATTTGGTAACAATATCTTCCATATATCTGGTCACCAGTGAGCGGGAGAACAATTAATCTGACACCAATGTATAAATCATCCTGAGGACTTCGTTAGCAATGAACAATGACCTACCCATAAAGATAATAAAAGAATGATATTATGTAGAAGGCCAGCTTGACCCAGCCTTCGCGCATGGCACGATTTAATTCATCAGTATTCATGATAGTGGTGGGATCATATAGGCCGGGGCCCGAAATAACCGGGCGGTGCATGTAACTAACTACGTCAAAGGACGGTAAGAAAGATTACCGATACGCGTGGTAAGCAATCAAGGGTGCATTGAACAACACCGTTCCAATTTGAACCGTGATCATAAATAGAAAAGTATATGTTCCGTGTAAAATGTACTCCGGTAGTACGAGCTAAAAGCAATTAACCCAATGGATCTCACCTACCGGATTCAAACTCTTACATTGGTCAACGGGGTTCTTGTAATCTGTTTTAAGCTCGTCGAATGAAATGATCTAAAACATCACTAAGAGGTAAAAATCAATTACGTGGAATATAGTGAGAAATATTAGGGCAATCGTGAAAATCAAGGCGACAATATACGCCACAGCCACCAAACCAAATGCCATTTTGAGCGTTCAGCAAGTAGCGGAGATAGGCGGCGAAACACGCGCGACACCGATTGGCTGAAACAGTGGGTGGCGGGAAACTTCTTCGGACGCTACATCTTGAAAAATGTTATATAATCCACTGTCTAGAAATGCCACAGCTTGGACCATCCCACGCGGAGTCTTCACTTGGATTGTTATTATTCCCAAGCGA